TCTGTGTATTAGGAGGAGGTGAGAGGGATGTGTCCCGGTGTCTGTGTATTAGGGGGAGGTGAGAGGGATGTGTCCCGGTGTCTGTGTATTAGGAGGAGGTGAGAGGGATGTGTCCGGTGTCTGTGTATTAGGAGGAGGTGAGAGGGATGTGTCCCGGTGTCTGTGTATTAGGAGGAGGTGAGAGGGATGTGTCCCGGTGTCTGTGTATTAGGAGGAGGTGAGAGGGATGTGTCCCGGTGTCTGTGTATTAGAAGGAGGTGAGAGGGATGTGTCTGTGTATTAGCAGGAAGTGAGAGGGATGTGTCCCGGTGTCTGTGTATTAGGAGGAGGTGAGAGGGATGTGTCCCGGTGTCTGTGTATTAGGAGGAGGTGAGAGGGATATGTCCCGGTGTCTGTGTATTAGGAGGAGGTAAGAGGGATGTGTCTGTGTATTAGCAGGAAGTGAGAGGGATGTGTCCCGGTGTCTGTGTATTAGGAGGAGGTGAGAGGGATGTGTCCCGGTGTCTGTGTATTAGGAGGAGGTGAGAGGGATATGTCCCGGTGTCTGTGTATTAGGAGGAGGTAAGAGGGATATGTCCCGGTGTCTGTGTATTAGGGGGTGAGAGGGATGTGTCCCGGTGTCTGTGTATTAGGAGGAGGTGAGAGGGATGTGTCCCGGTGTCTGTGTATTAGGAGGAGGTGAGAGGGATGTGTCCCGGTGTCTGTGTATTAGGAGGAGGCGAGAGGGATGTGTCCCGGTGTCTGTGTATTAGGGGGAGGCGAGAGGGATGTGTCCCGGTGTCTGTGTATTAGGAGGAGAGGGGATGTGTCCCGGTTTCTGTGTATTAGGGAGGAGGTGAGAGGGATGTGTCCCGGTGTCTGTGTATTAGGAGGAGGTGAGAGGGATGTGTCCTGGTGTCTGTGTATTGTGTGGTGTCTGTGTAGAGGAGGTGAGAGGGATGTCCTGGTGTCTGTGTATTAGGAGGAGGTGAGAGGGATGTGTCTGTGTATTAGCAGGAGGTGAGAGGGATGTGTCCCGGTGTATGTGTATTAGGAGGTGAGAGGGATGTGTCCCGGTGTCTGTGTATTAGGAGGAGGTGAAAGGGATGTGTCCCGGTGTCTGTGTATTAGGAGGAGGCGAGAGGGATGTGTCCCGGTGTCTGTGTATTAGGAGGAGGTGAGAGGAATGTGTCCCGGTGTCTGTGTATTAGGAGGAGGTGAGAGAGCGATGTGCCCCAGTGTCTGTGTATTAGGAGGTGAGAGGGATGTGTCCCGGTGTCTGTGTATTAGGAGGTGAGAGGGATATGTCCCGGTGTCTGTGTATTAGGAGGAGGGATGTTTTCTGATACCTGTGTTTAGACATCAGCAAATGGATGATATATCACTTAAAAAAATAATAATAAAGGCAATACCAAATATAGTGTAAATGTCACAAGACACTTTCCTATCAGAGATATGCACTCAGGTTCTAATTTTCGTTCTTTTTAAGGAAGGTTCGAAAATGTAAGTTCTGATCCCGGTGTATTTGGAAGCACTGAGACACAAACACACACTCATCACATCTCCGACTACTCAATGAATTTATTTTGGCTTTTGCAGGATGCTCTGCAGTAGAGAATATATTGCGCAGCAGGAAGGGGGAATTCTCAGAGATATGTGGTCTTTCAGGAGATAAAACATCTTAATATCCATTACAAAGTATCCCACGGCAATGCCGGCCTCTCTATGTACACTTACATACACAAATATGTACGACAATGAAGAGGTACATACATTTGTCTGTGTGCTTTTATGTATGTACAGGTAAATAAATATACGTGCATATGAATACGTATATATGCACAAACCCATGGGTATACATGTTTGCGTGCATAAATATACTAACACATATGTACGGCAAAATGTAACATTTATATGTAGTATACAACAAATGTGGGACACAGATACAGTAGAAATTCCCTAAATGCACACTCTATTTTATATACATTTACATACATACACAGAGAAAACCCTTACATACATATTCATTACACACATACCTGGGAACTCAGACGTGTACCCCATGTTCCCTAGTATTTAGGTAGATTTGTAGCTTCTCAGGGTAAATTGGTAATATTCAGGGCACCTGGTAGGATTTCCAGGTTAAATAGGAAGGGTCTCTAGGATTCGTTTTGAATTGGCAGATTTCTATGATCGAGAGGTGAATGGGCAGAGTCAAGGTTACCAAGGTGAAAGGGCAGATTCTCACTAGATTCTTGAGATGAATGGACAGATTCTTAGGGTGAATGAGTACTACAGTGATATTATAACCGTATTTAATGACACTTAAAGCTCCCAAAACAAGTTTATCGTACAAATATGACACAGATGAAATCCCTGCTTCAATTAGCGATCATTCACTGAAGATACATTTACTGCTGCTGGGGTTTGGGTTCCCCAGGAGTTCGTTTTTTAATACTTAGATTGTCTGCGATGAGCTATTAGATATTTAATACTAAGAAGATTCTCGGAATCAGCTCACGGACAGTTCCCAGGTATATGTATACTGTGTATATGCAGGTTGACGTGTGCGTATAAATATACCAAATTTCAATCCAAACACATTCCCCCAATACAGTTTCTCATTTCTTTACTTGTGCAAATTTCGGTGGTGTTACTAGGCTGAGAGCCACATTTAATCCTGGTTTTGTGGGTTGAGATCGCTTTGTGACCACACTGAAAACCAAAAATGCCCACTCTCCAACAGTGGGTATAGTACAGAGGAGAACTGCAAAATTTTATCTAATACCAAGGGGGCAGAATGTAGTCTTCCAGGGTCTGTACCCTGCCAGAATTTCAGGATTTCTCCTATTAGTATGTAAACAAACATTTAACATTCAGTATCACCAAGCAATGTGCTTAAATAGACCTGGTGTGTGTGAGAGAGGCCCTGGAAGACAAGATTTCAACTCCCCCCAATAAAACCAGAGAGAGAGGTAAAGTAATACATTGTTCAGCTATGGCAACAAGGGTTAAAACATATTTTAGGATATAAAGGAGCGTTTTAACAATCAAGAGGATATACATATATATTAAGAGACTCTTGATTCTTACATTTATTTTTTTTTTTTGCTTACACCTTAAAAATCCTTTGGGATGGACGGAAAGGTTAATAGGACCTATAAAGGCAGCTAAAGTGTTACTAAAAACACATTACAATCTCATCGTCTTAGGAAAGTACTGAAGGAAAACCTCTACACCCTGTTCAGATTAACTCTTCTAGAATCAGGGCCAGGGGTGAGCAATACATTGTACTGGTACTCAAAGGGTTAACAAAAGCGTTCCAACCCGACCTCCCCTTTCCCCTCTCACACACTTCTTGTTCCTTAGGGCAGGTAGCAGTCAAGAGAGGCGCATGCTTTTGGCAAGTTGTAGCGAGAATTGCGTCAAGGTGTCACTATTCTCTCACTTGGGGTAGTAATCCCCAGAGAGCAGAAGGCACTTCGTTCAATCCTCAGTATGGCTGAAGGTAGGTGCAAGAAGAGTAGGCATGAGTTGGGGTTAAAGGGAACTAAATGTGTCTTGCAGTTTAAACATCTGTCCAGTTTCCGTAGTTACCATCAGAAGTAAAACTGGCAGAGAAGGGGATGCAAAGCCTTCGCCTGCAGTACACCATGACCGGATCCAACACAAAGCAAGTGGTGCTCTTGCCAACAGTCATTTGAGAGGCCTATTAGCTAAGCTGGGGTGGGGAGCAGGCCCAGCCGCCAGGCTGATGTATCCTTACAGCCAGTCA